AACAAATGCAAGTTTGAATACAGTATTTGCAACATAGCAATGCGAAACCAACAAGGTTACTCAAGACAATGATGTGGTGCATAATATTAAAGAATGGAATGCAGCTATATTCCCTCCCTGCTCAAACCCCCAGACCCAAAGCACAAATTAACTAAGCAAACAGGTCAGGACAGGCCGGCTTCAACCTGCTCCCTTTCCTACAACGCAGCAGACTAGCCCAAACAGGACCCGAATGGTTCCAGAAATAAAGCCGATCTTTTGTAGAGTTTTTTCTTCCCTCGCTCCCTCTCCCCCAACCCCCCTCTCTCTGTGTGAATGTGCGTGTGAAGAAACTGAGTGTCTCACTTTAAAAAACCAAAGTCATCCCTTTAAAATCTACGAAAGCATCTGTTTTTCAAGAACAAAACAGCAAAGGTTAACTGTATCTCCTTAAAGGCCAGGATAAATGTCCCTTTGCTTCATCCGACCAAGCATTCTTTCTTTCTTTCAAATGTTATCACTTGGAGCTATTTTATTTTCCGCCATCCAATCCATTCTCAAAACTGCAGACTGAATCAAGTTGCATGGCTGGATGTCAGGGGCAGAAAACAGCTCAGGTTGCATTTGAACCAAGAGCAGAAAACATGGCAGATGCAAAGTGAAAAAATTCCACTGCAGGTTGCTTTTTCATTTTTTCAAAGTGAAATAGAGTCCTCCAGGCACTGCGGGAATATCCTGAAGATTATTGGTTTTTCCAGTGCAGTCAAAGGAGGGAAACTCAGCTCATTAACTAATGTTACATTCTTCACAAAGAGGGCTTGGAACGCAGAGCTGAATCATGCCCTTCTGTCCCTCCGGGCGCCCCTCTGCAATGGAGAACTTGCTGTTATTAATCAGTTTTCCATGCAATTTGCTTTCTAGAATTGTTCATGGGCCTGATTGAAATTCATGATTTCCAGGCCCGCTGGGATGGGGCTAATGAAATAGGAGCTGTAATTGACCGTTGTGTGCATTGAATGCAAAGGCATCAGCAGGAAAGATGCTGGCTCAGAAATCAATTCAAGTGGACAGTACCTGGGGTGCCCAGCTGGTCTTCTAGCTGTTGGCCTGGTTGGGGGATGCCAGAGTCCAGACTGGCCCTTGGCTGAGCAACCTGATGGAAAGAAACGCCGCATCTTTGGTGCCTCTTTTCGGACATCAGAGGGATCTCGTGTGTGTTGCACAGAACATGTCAGGGCCAGGCTGGCCAGGGCAGTAGATGGCTGCACTGCAACCGGATCTAGGCTATGTGTCCTTGGGCTGCCACAAAGCCAACAGCTGCGAGGTGGAAATGCCCGCCAAGACGTGCCTCTTTCTTATGGCAAGTCAGTCATTCAAGCGGAGGCTCTTCCTCCGTATTTAGGTTGGCCTGGGCAATCCAGGTGAATTGTGCTCCCTCTGTCTGCCTCTCGCAAAGGGGAGATACAGCCAGTGCGTGAAGCAGGACTGGGAGGGTGGGGGGGGGGGTCACTGGTTTAGCATTTTGATGCAAATGCATCATTTCACACATCTGCATCAAGAAAAAGGTTTCTTTTTGGTCCCCGAAGGAGGAGACTAACATTCCCAAAATGCATTGGGGCATTAATAAAACCATTTTCCTTGGCAGTTGGGACTTTAAAACAGTTTTGTCCGTGTCATTTTCTCTTTCTCATGTGTGCTTTCCCCTCCCATTTGATTATCACACTTTTGAATCAATAAGTGAACTGAAAGCCACTTATCCTTACAAATCAGCATTTTTCAGAATTTAGCTCTCCTTTTTTTAAAGCAGTGTGTACAAAAATGTATATATCAGGGGAAGTGCACACAATGTGTGCTGATTAGTGAAAACGGCATTAAAATGCTTAGCCTTAGAAAGTGCTGCCAAGAATGTGTGTCTAAGTCAAAATTGCCCACAAAAACACAAGTATTGGAGGAGAGGTACACACAGCAATGTATTAGTTTTATGCAATATTTAAAATCCTCTTAATGTGTGGAATGAACCAAAACTTTGGTTGGAAAATTGAATTGAAAGAAGCTGAAAACGACAGACTCATCCGCCCCAGTGCACAGACCCTGCAAATGAAGCCAAGTCCCAGCCACAGACCCCATAATTCCAGGTTTAAGCCCTGCCCCACCCCCCTGACCAAGTTGCTTTATCCTCAGTCCAAGATAAAATTAATCCTAAACATCTGAAACAGCATTTCTCCACATTCATAGCCAGCATTTGCTCAACTGCAGTTTCCCTGGGGGATTCTCATTTAGTTAACTTTGAAAAACCCAAACACTCCCCCTGCCTCAAGTACACAGATAGCTAAATGGTAATGATCACAGAATCCTAGTGTTGGAAGCAACCTTGAAGCTCATCTAGTCCAACCCCCATCCTGGTTCTGGCCAAGTTCTGCGATGCAGAATGGAGTTGCGGCTCTGTTACATGGTTAGGATGCTCCACAGAAACCAAATCAACTGTGTGATTTTCGGCGGGGGACAGGTGGGCACAGCAGGCTGGCTTCTTGGAGGTGCCGAGGGCCAGAGTCGCAGCTTCCTCTTTGTCACCTTTGATGTCTCACCTACCCCAGCCAGCCACACCACAAGCAGGCCTGGGCTTCTTTCTGCTGATCTGGGAACTGTTGCAAAGAAATTGTGCATCGGAAAGAAAGGTGTAAGTGATCAGCTGCTTTCATTTGAACTTCTGGAAGAAGTTACAGGTTCTGTGGAACAATTTTCTGTCTCCATCACTGAGATACTTCATCCTTTACGATCCTTCATAAGTTTGCCCTGCAGGTTGATTCAGCTTTGGAACCGTAGTTGGAGTAGATCTCTCTCATTCTCTCTCCCTCTCCTCCTCACACCCCCAAGTGTAGAATTTACCTGTGGCAGCTGAGAGAAATACTTGTTGAAGATTGTGTGGCTTAGTTTCTTTTTCACAAACCCATCGATAATGGGTGCATTTTTTCCCCTTACATCCTCCCGGCTGATTGATTGTCTCTTGTCTGTGGTTTGGTCTGGATTTCTGCTGTGATGGATGGGTTGTTTGGTTCATTGAATGGTCTTCCTAAAAGATGTAATCATCCCTTTAAACATGAGAGGAAAAATGGAAGGGGTTAGGGTTAGCCATGGGTTGGTGGAAGGACCCTGCCTCTCTTTTGTTTTGTATTTTATTTTGTTTTATTTTTAATTTTATGGATTGAATTTATTATGGAATTTTAGGAAACCAACAAAAATAGTTTTGCTTTTCACTTTCAAGGTCAATGCTATTATTTCTGGGCACAGCCGTAGTGGAATCTGCCCAGATGTTAGTACATACAGTTGAGGCTACCTCTGAGATAACAGCATATTTTGACTTATGTGAACAGTTGCACTTGTTTTTTTTAAAACTATCACTCAGATTTATAGCACCCAGAGAGTTTCAGCTATTGGGCCATGAAGAAATGAAAGAAATCAATTACTAAATAACGCTAGTTCTTTAAAATGCCTGATAGTTCAGTGATGGACCAAAGTCAGGCAAAATTATGCTGATACATTCAGATGAAGAATTCATTCTTCCACACTCAAACTAATTAGCACATCTTCAGCTTCGGAAAATGTTGGCATCTAAAAACTGAGGGATTGCTTAATTAGCCTTCTTCCTTTCTTACTGAAGTCATGCTAAGGGTACAAGGATAACTTAACGCTGCAATGCCCTGACTGCTGCAGATGAATCCGGTTAGTGGGCAGCCCTGTGACTGTGTGGGAAAGGCGTTGCAAACGATGCAAATGATTCTGTTTTGAGAGCACGTTTGAAGCTGCCAAGGAGCTGCCTCCGTCTCCTGGAAAGGGAGCACCACCAAACCGCCTTTGTCAACCCCTCGGAGTTCAGGAAAGTTGATTTTAATGAATGGATAACATTGGTAAGCAGGATGCCCTGGAATGAAAACCCAACGGGAGAAGGAGTTTAAGGTGTGGAGTGGTAGCCAGGGGTTTAAGACAAATAGCTAGTACCTAAGAAGGCAGAAACAAAATCCAACATGCAGGCTGGTCAAAAAAATAACAGAACGAAATGTAATGGAGGGCAAATAATAAATAGGCTGGGCAAAACAAAACAAAACAACAACAACAGAATGACATGCAATGGAGACAAGCGCAGAGTTCTTTATTTAGGAAAAAGATATAAGATGCAAAGTTACAGGATGGAAATACCTGGCTTGGCAACAGAAGCTGAGCGCAAGCTGAATGTGAGCCAGCCGTGTGATGCAGCTGCCAAAATGGCAAGGGCTGTTTTAGGTTGAATCAATTGAAGTGTAGTTCAAACCCACAGCGGGGTGGACTCAGGAGCCAGCAAGCTTGGCCGGCCTGAGCCAGAGAAGTGCCTGAGGTTCAGAAGGCTTTAGGAACAGCTGGGGGTGGGGAGAAGCTCACAGTCAGGGGGAAGTGGGGGACGAGCAGAAGGGGACGCAGCTAGGAAGGACTTTGAAGCCACAGCTGAGCATGGAGTCGCTTTGATCATGTTCTTATTTCTCTTTTTCATGGGGGGGGGCACTCAAAGCCAGGAAGGGTTCCGAGGCTGCCCCTTGCCCCTCCAACACTCCTTCAGACCTTACTCAAGCCGCCTTCTGCTTTGTGAGATCCATGTTTCTTTTCACAGACAAACTGATGTTCTTATAGATGGATTATTTTTTAAATGAGATTTTTTAAATGAATTTTTTTTCATTCGAGAGATAAATTCTGCTCCCTCCCAGGCAAAATTCCACGTCCCACAGCATGATGGCAGAAACACTGAATATGCACTAATGATCTGCTCAGACCCTATCGCCCTCCAGATATCTGGGGCCACTGCACCCATCAGCCCAGCAAGACAGGTCTTTGTCCAGGGATGATGGAAACTGTACTCCAAAACAGGGTTTCAGGTTGTTTGTCCTTAATGTAAGAGATACACTGCATGCATCTTTCCAGCATAACAGCGACCCGGTGAAGGCTTTTTCTCTGCATTTCGAGTCATTTCATTGCCATTTCTCTTTCTTTCCCAGGGTGTGACCTTCAGAAGCAGAATGAATCAGGAAAGCAAACAACCTGCCAAGCCACAGTAGCTCCTGTTTACACAGAGTTGCTGATCCTCCATGAACCGACTGTTGACGTCCCTGCCTGGCTGAAGGGGACAAAAGGGATGGAAAAGCAGTGCTGAGATCAAAGCTATTATGCAATGCTTTGCGGGGGAGGATACAACTGAAATTAAAAGCACCACCATATCTGCACAGAATTCTGGGATTCCTTGTGCATCACATGTCTCTAAAGAAACAGTTACGCTTGCATGATTGACTGGACAAATTGGGCAGATTTTTTAATTAATGCTTTAACACGATACTTTACCATAGAAACACACCCGGTGAGAAATAAATCGGCGTGTGTACCTAGAAACCAACATGGATGATGGACATAGAAACAGGGTGAATCAGATTTCCAGTGACTACCAGTACCAAGATGGCGGCTATGAAGGCTATGGCCCTACCAATGGCTACGACCAAGATGCAGAGGATCATGGCCAAGAGGAAGACGCTCAAAGTGATGCCACCGAAGGCCATGATGAAGATGACGAAGTCTATGAGGGGGAGTACCAGGGCATCCCCCATCCTGACGACCTCAAGGCCAAGAAGAAGAAGAAATCTCCGAGGATGTCGGATGAGTATAGAGATGAGGCCGAACTCATGGCAGAGAAGATGGAAGACGAGGAGCAGCTGGCTCACCAGTACGAGAATATCATTGAGGAATGCAGCCACGGGCGTTTCCAGTGGCTGCTCTTCTTTGTCCTGGGCTTGGCGCTGATGGCAGATGGCGTGGAGGTGTTCGTGGTTGGGTTTGTCCTGCCCAGCGCCGAAAAGGACATGTGCTTGTCAAGCTCCAACAAGGGGATGCTAGGTGAGCTCCGTTTCTCTTCCCGAGCAAGGAGGGAGGGACAGCCCTTCCTGACCAGGTGCTCTTGGGTGTGTTGGAGTTGGACTACAGCTCCCATCAGCCCCATGCCACGTACCAAGCTGGGTACCAGGTTAGGGAACTCTTTTGTATTATTATTAAATTTATCCATATCCTGCCTGTTTCCAGAGAGCAAGATTCTAGGCAGCTCATTTTGCAGGCAATTTGGAATCTGACACATCTAGGAATATTTTTCACTCCCTGCTTTCAAACCTTAATCCTGCACCTCCACCAGAATCCAAACAGAACGAGCAAAGCCCCGTGGGTTGTTTCTCTGAACTTCCACTTACGTAAAGCTCAGGCTTTAAGTACACATTTGCTGAAATGAGAATTTCCTTTCTCTGTGTTTGCGAATCATCCAAACACACCCTACATGCGATCCCGAACCTGAGCAGGAGCGTGTGTCCTCCAAAACGTTTGTAAATTATGCAACACGCATTTGATACACGCACTTTAAAAAATGCCCATTTGTCTTCCTAATGCTCATTTGAATGCTGTGTTCTATGGAAGACAAGTGTGCCTCTGCCCTTGTTCTTTTAAAAAAGCCCATTTTCAGTGTGAGCGAAACAAAATTAAAGTAGTGTAAACCCCGGAAATGTAGGGAGCCAAGCTTCAAGTCAGCATCTCAAGAATCTTGGCTGTGCAAAAGGCACTTTCTGCCGGCCCTTGCTCTTTCGGGCACTGCCAGGGCTGGTAGCAAGGACGAGCTATGAGCCGGAACAACCTCCTCTCGTGACTGTGTTGCATCTTTCAGCCTCAGGTTTCGTGTCTATTACTAGTGTCCGAACGTCAGTGCGAAGTGATGGTCAGAAGGCTGAACTGAGACTCAGGCGATCTGGGTTCGAGTCCCCGCTCAGGCTCCGAGGTCCCTGCGTGACTGGCCCAGTCACTGTCTCTCAGCCCAGCCTACCCCACAGGGCTGTTGTTGTGAGGATAAAATGGAGAGGCGGTCCCTGTAAGCCACTTAGAGTTCCTCACTGAGGAAAAACAGTGGAATATAAATGCAATGCCGTCATAATACCTTTCCAAGTGGTCTGTGAGGATTATTGAGATAATACATTTGAAGCATTTCCAGCAGTTAGGGCTGGTCTATCGAACTAAACTGTTTTCCGCAGTTCTAACAAGCAGCTGTACAATCGTGTGGAGAAAGAAGGAGCAACACTGATGTCTGAAGAGCAGTTTCTGGCAAGTCTGGGGAATTGGGAAACGCTTCCTTCCCTGCTGAGCAAAGTTATCTTGGGTAATGTTCCCCCATGCTCCCTCCTTATCATGACTGGACAGCTCAGCTCAGCAAAAGGCATAGCTTACAGACTCCTTCATGAAAACCATATAGGAAGCAATGCATCAGGGCCAGGAATACATCAAGAAAGCAGATGGCCGTATTACAAATAGATTTTTTTCCACTCGAAAAAAAGACACACTTCTCAGTAAACATTTCCATTGTGCACGGCACACAGTTCTAGCTGCACCGTCCCTTTGATGGCTAAACATTAACATCTCTTAATGTGAAACTGGTGTTCTATCGTTACCACGGCCCCGTGAAACAAGTTGGCAGATCTAGTCATTTGGAGGAACACCCATCCTCCGAAGAAGGCTGTTTTGCAAGCAGAAGGCGTCAGCCACGGGTGCAAATGGCCCAGTGCCCTGCCTCATGCCCTGGCCAGCTGCACGTCCCTGGGAAAGCCAGAAGTGATGTGGGAACGCACCAGCCCCCCATGGCTCTTGGCAGGGCCAGTCGGTGCCTTGGGCAGGCATGGCTGGGTGCCGGACCCGGCAGGAGCCCTCTAGACTTGGGCCCCCTGAGGGGTCCTGCCCAGGGGGCCTCCAAAATTCGGAGCTGGGACTGCAGAGGAGACCTAAAAGAGGGGAGCAAATGAGGTGCAGTTTGCCACAAACCTCAAACTGGAGTCATCCCCTGAAACTGGCTGGCGGGAGATTTGGGGCAGATGAAAGAAAGGGCTTCTTCACATGGTACATAGACAGGCCTCCTCTGAAACAATGCCAAATGTGGCCCCGATTCAATCATTCGGCTAAGGAAGACATCTGAAAGTCAGGAGCCAAAATAATCCCAGCTGGGACAGACACACTGCGTTGAAAAGCGACAAAGTACCAGTGAGGGACTTTGATTTCTGAGGCTCAGCAAAGAGTGATAAAGGGAAACGGTTGGATTTCCAGTGTCTGTTACTATGAATACTAAACCTATAGACACCCGCTGCACACGCTCAGTTAAAATAACAAAAAGGATCAAGGTGTCTGAGTGAAAAATCACCCCCCCCCCCGCCGCCCTTTTACAGTTCTTTATGCACACCTGCCCTGTGGGTCTACAGGTTTCTCTAGGTCAACCTTGTGTCCACCAGGTATGTGGGACTACAATTCCCAGGTGGCCGGAGGAGGCTTTCTGCAGGCTGGGGAAAGCTCACCTAGATGGCAGCAGTAAACCTGCATGCATATTCCATTTGGACTTACCTGTCTAGAGCGTGTGCATTGGAGAATTTGGGTGCATTTGGTCTGGGGGGCTGCTATGGTCCCCCTCAATATGTTATGCTTGTGTGTGCACACGCTGAGAACTCTTACGGAGCAGAAAGGCCCACATCTCCCAGCAGGAATGGAGGGCGCCATAGCATTCGTTCTGTGTGGGCACGCTCAGAGTTGCCCTTTTAATTTGTGAGCGAGGCAAGCATCCTGGAGGGTGAGAAGAGGGGAGATATTCATGCGGGGAAGGAAAGCCGTTTCCTTCTGTGTCTGCGTGCACCAACCATTTCAGGAGGCAGGAACAGAGGAAGATGGGCCAGAGGCAAGGATCCTAGCTTGGCTCTAGGAATTCCATTGCCAGACCCGGTTTTATTTTCAGGCTTGTTGTGTTTAGAGAAGTTGCGGCTGAGCCGAAGCCCGTGCGGGAGAGCGAATGGGAAGAGCTGCACAGATGTGTGTGTGTGTTCAGTTTTTAAGGAGCTTTAGATGAACAGCTGGTAAGGAGGGTTTTCTTTGCAGAAAGCAATTTACCCAGTCCGTCATTTGTTCTTAATCTGGGAGGGGGAGCAGGGTTCAAGTAGGAGGCGGGGCCATTCCTGGTGGCCCTCGCTTTTGGGCCACTTACTCTCATTCATTTCATTTCCATACCACCCAGAGCCGATGCGCCGGCACACACGCTCCCACGCATTACTGCCCCTGTCCCAAGTTGACCTTGTTAGAAGAGTTGCAGCCCTGAGAGTCTCAGTCCCCTGAATCCAGGGGAATTCGACCTCCTTTCTCTCTCCCTCCACCTTGCCATGTTAAAGAATGACCGATCATTTCTTTCACACTCTGTAGTTACGTGATGGCTACCTAGGAATCGCCACCCCAAAAGATGGCATCAGGGTGATACATCAAGCCAACGATACATTGCTGTATCTGTTCTACTGATGCGCTCTGGCAATGCCACCCTTTGCGCCACGGTATGGGAAGTGCTGCCCCGACAAATGGGGTGCCTGCCCTCCCACCAGCCCCAGCGTGGCACATGCGCACTTCCACGGGCGCCCAGCTCTTCCTTCCCCCCCACGGGCGCCCTTGCTCGTGCTTTTGGGCTGGGCGGCCCTCAGGGAGCGGAGGGGGCAGTTCTCTGGCAGGCCTTCAAACAGAGGACTCTCCGCTGTAAAGGAGGGCCCAGGACTGCGGCCGTCTCTGCAGCACCTGAAAGGCTCACTGGCAAGGATAGTTTTCATGCATACATGCAAACGTAGAAGTGAAGACTGTACTGCTTATAGTCCTCCGTGTGAAAGGCGGTGTGCCCACAGACCTTCCACTGCGGGGCAGCATAGACGCGAGAGCAGCAGCAATAAGAACTGGTACAGCCTCGCCAAAGTGGGGACGTTCGTGCCTGCTGGTCAGATGCTCTTGGGGGCAACATCTGGGCCTGCTCACCCTTCTTCTCAGTCCTTCAGTTTCACAGAGAAGCCGGGTTCAACTGTGAGACTCTTCAAAGGCGGCAGCCCTCCAGATCGAGGATGGGGGGGAAACAGAGCATGTCGCTCTGTCACAGGTCCCGTTCCAAGGAGGGCTCGCTTGGCAGAGTGGCAGAAGCAAACTGTGCCCGTCTGCCCCAGGGAGATTTCCAGCCTGTTTTGGCAGGAGGGAGAGAAATGATGGGGACCGGAGCGGAGGGGGGAAGTGCCGGGTCACAGCCAGCGCCGGCGTTGAGTGAAGCCCGGTGGGATGGCGCAAAAGCGCCGCGAAGGGTGGGGTGGGTTGGCGGGTTCTGGGGAGAAGCCAAGGGATTACGAAAGACGTGGGCTCGTTGTCGTGTGGCAACCGCCCTGCGCAAGGGGCCAGCATTATTACCCACATCGTGCATTGCTGTCTCCATGCGGTTGTCTCCAGCCTCTGGGGACCCCGTGAAGGCAGGGCCCCCAAAATGTCCTCTCCTGCTCAGCTCTTGCGAACTCAAGGCTGCCTCTTCCTTGGTGGAGTCCGTCCACCTTGTGTTCGGCCTTCCCCCTCTTCTGCCTTCCACCTCCCCAGCAGGGTGGTCTTCTCCAGGGAGCCTGGCCTTCTCCTGGGGTGACTTGGTGTGGTGGAGAAAGCCAGTCATGCTGGCGCGAGGCTCTTGCCGACGGCTGCCCCTCGAGGGAGCTGCCGTGTCCTGAGTCAGAGCTTGGCCCACCCACCCCTGCCTTTGGCTTCTCCCCGGATCGTTTCCAGCCCTGCTTGCTGAATCGGGTGGCTTCTGCATCCCTCGGGGTCTGACCCATGCTGTCCTTCCCTTCTGCTGCCTTTGCTTAAGGCGACCTCACAGTTGAGGCAGGATTCATAAAGAGCAGGCGCGAGATATGCTGGCCATGCTTCCAGGCAGCGGGCTCCATTGCTGGGGCTCTGATAGATCTTGGTCTTGGTTTGGAAGGGCTGATGGTAGAGATCGAGGGAGGACAATGTCGAATCCTGCTAGAGGAAGTGGCGGAGAAGCACAGCAAGGTCTTCCTCTTTGATTCATGAGGGTTCGTGGCCCTGGACCTATTTCCTGGTACTCCACCCTTCTCCATGCCCCTCCTGTCCCTTCTCACCCATCCAGAAATCCCTCAATAGTTGTGAGTGTTTTCACCTGTAGGGGGCGCTGGTAGACCGATGACAGATGGTAACACTCGAAGGACTCCTTGCAGCCTCAGCCCTCTGGAGAGTCTGAAAATCTATGCAGTGATCTGTAGGCTGCCCTATTATGGGGAGAGCTGATGAACATGCTGCTAATTGGATTTCACGATTCATTTATGGAGTCTCCTCTGCGTGCATGCATGTGTGTGTGTGTGCGCACACGCGCATGTATTATTTGCAGGCACAATCAATCCATTGAATAATAATCCCCTTTGTGAAACATTGAATAATGAATCGATGAAAGGGACCAGGGCTGGCCTGCAGCCAAGGGCTCAACAAGGATAAATGCTGCACGATTCGATTCGCTGTGAAGGGTTTGCTTCTATACCGATTAGCAGAAACGACAGGATCCGTGGGCTCCTAGGCCTGACGTGCCAGCAGCTTTAAAGGCTTTTCTTGCAAAGTCAGCCAGTGTGTTTGTTTTTGCTTTTGGTAATGGAGGATGGACTTTTAATTTAGGGAAGCACTTTTGGTGGCGTTCAGAGGAGATAAATCGGTTTGCCATTGGGTAAAATAAACAAGCCAGCTGAGAAATATGATTTTTTACTGGTCTTCTGAGCTGATCGAGGACGTTGTGGAATGGTGCACAATGCGCACATGCACACACACCCATGCGCACATGCACACACACACACAACCAGGTGCACAACCATTTGCTCCTTTGGGACATTTTGTATTCTCCAAATGGCAAAATATTTAACTAGTTCTGTGAACTGAAGTCATGTCAGAACAGGGAGGGACCAGAATCAGAGCGATGGGTACATGCTGTGTGGGGCAGAGGCCTTTCTCTCCCTCTCCCTCTCCCTCTCCCTCTCCCTCTCCCTCTCCCTCACACACGCCCCAAAGGAGTCCTCCAACAAATATATTCCTGGGCCTGGGGCTGCATGTGAGGAGGCCTGGATTCATATCCCCTTTACTTCTCTCCCTCCCCTGGCTTCACAAACCTTCCTTGGATGCTTCTGTGGCAAAATAAGGGTCTGTTCACCCACTTTCAAATGTAGCATTGCAGCCCAAAGTGCACGCAACTTGCTTGGAAATGAAAAGAAAGCTGGCGATCTCAGGAAGCTTAATTCCGCACCCATCACCTCATAGAATCCTACGTAGAACTGTAGAGTTGGAAGGGGCCCTGAAGGCCCTCAGGTCCAGCCCCTGCTGGTGCAGGACACCAATTTTCAACATCCCACTCAGGTGGCTGCCCAGTTTCTTCTGAATGGCTCCAGTGTGGGAGAGCCCCACAACTCCCCAGGCAGCGGGTCCCACTGTCGCGTTGCTCTGGCCGTGAGGAAGCTCTTCCTGATGTCCAGCCTGAACCTGGGTTGCTGCAACTTGATTATTCCGTGTCCTGCACTCCGGCACTCATTTTCTGCCCTCCTTTGGCCCTGCTGTCCAGTCACAACAAATATTTTGCCTTCTCGCTCTCCAGAGTGGCCCAAGCTATTATTGGAAAAAGTTCCTTTCTTTATTTTGTCCAAGCAACTGGTCCAGACCTTGAAAGGTTCTTAACCTTTCTTTTCCACCTGAATCGTCCCACAAGGTGAGACGCAGGCCAAGTGTGAGACCTTCACAGAGACGTCCTTTAGCTTCCATGCTCTCAGCAGAGAGGCACAGACCTTCTTCCTCATCCTGCTGGTGCTTCCTGTGACCGGAACGAAGCGGTCCTTGATTCAATAGAGAGGAGACTATCAGGTTTCCAAGGAGAGCCCTTATCAAAGAGAGACTGAATGCCAGATCTGGCTTTAAACACCATGCATGTGACATTTATTCTATGATATAAAGAATGCAGAAGCATAAGAATGTAAGTTCAACAGTCATCAGCAACAGTATCAAGAGACCTCATCCACACCCACATTCATGCCACTCATACAGCCAGCAGACCCTCTCCAGGCGGTGATCCATCGGGACTGTGGGTGAGCAGTTCAGTGCTGTTCTGGAACACACGGGAGCTGGAAAGCCTGAGCATCTTATACCTTAAAGCTGCCGTCATCCGCTTAGTCCCACTGGATCGAACAGTGAACTCCTCTGAGCAGAGCTGATGCAGAATGTGCTGGTTTTCCTCACATTCCGTTCTCTCTGGATGGTACAGGGCAGGCTGATCTTGTTCTGTTCCTTTCTCCAACCACTCCCAGCCCCTCCGTTTTGCTGTGAAAAAAACTCAGTCCTGGTCAGTCCTGGAAAGCTTTTTGATTCTCCGTTTTCTTCTGGGTCGTAGGCCTTCAGGAACCCAGCATCCGTCACCAAGACATCAAGGGCCAGCCCTGCGGCCAGTGGCGGGCACCGCACACCTGTGCATGCTTGCACTGCCTAGGCTGTCACACGGTCAGTGCCGTTCCCGTCTCCACTGGGAGATTCTGGCCAGCAAGCCTCAGAGGATAGCTCAGCAGCGACTGCCCCCTCGTGTCCGGACGATCGCTGAGCTGAAACGATTTCCACACGCCGCAGTTCCTGGCAGCAGCTGGAGCTCTTCGGCACCGCTGAAATGGGAGAGGGTTGCGCGCACGTCTGCTTGTCTGTCCCCCTGTGACGTCTCACCCGATGTGAGCTGTGTGTGCTGGAACCATGCATACCTCAAAGGTGTCCTCAGGCGCACGTACCTTTTTCTGCTCCCTGAGTGCAAGGCATGGAGAAGGGGCAGCAGTTAAGGGAACTGTGGGTGAGAGGAGGCACTCGTGGTCTTGCTGAAGCCTTTGCTGATGTTGTCTTTCTGTTCTGTCCCATCTGGTCCCGTTCCATTCTGTTCATTACTTCGATTTCCTCCTCTTCTCCTTTCCCAAGGAACCCAGGCTTGCCAGCATAGTTATCTTTCACTCCATTTTTATCCTCACAACAACTTGTGAAGTAGGTTAGGCTGAGAATTTGATTGCAGGTTTCCCCGATCTGGCGCCCTCCTAATGTGCTGGACTACAACTCCCATCATCCCCAGCCAGCTTGGAGGTGGCTGGCCTATCTGGCAAGGCCATCTTGTGTGTTTCGGAGGAGATGACGCACCTGTATTTGAGCCTCAACTGCCTGCAGGATCGGTGCGTGCAAAGGGGCAAACTGCAGCCGGGCAGGAGGTTTCTTAGCACAGGGCAAGCTTTGCCGTTCAACAGAGCTCTTGCTCAGGCTGGGTGTGCAGTCCTGCAAAAGCCGCCTTTAATCCAGGCCCCTCCGTGTGCAAAGCGCCGCTCCATTAGCAGGACCCACTCCCTCCCAGAGCCGCAGGGCCCCACAGATGGTCGGAAAAGGATGCGGGTCGCCGAGCCCTGGCACACTTCTTAGCCGAGGAGCAGACTCATTGCCGGCATTTGGACGTCTCGGAATCGGCAGGTGTTTTGAGGGCATCTCTGGCCTGCCTTTGCCTCCAAGGCTCCCAAGGCGGTGTCGATGACCACGAGTCGGCCCCTGGCCCTGTGCTCCCAGGGGGCTGGAGGCCGGGGGGGGGGGGGGGGCTCCGGTCGCCTCTTGCCTCGCCGCCCGGCAACAGCCTCTGTCTCTCCCACAGGGCTGATCGTCTACATGGGCATGATGCTCGGAGCCATTCTGTGGGGCGGCCTGGCTGACAAAGCGGGCCGGAAGCAGTGCCTCCTCCTGTCGCTCAGCATCAACGCCACCTTTGCCTTCCTCTCCTCCTTCGTTCAGGGATACGGATCCTTCCTCTTCTGCCGCCTCATCTCCGGCTTCGGGTGGGTAGCGGCTCTCCTGGGCCGGGTGTCTGATCCGTGGGGCGCCGCTGAGCCAGGCAGCTGTGATCGAGCAGGCGCCATGCGCTTTGCATGCCCGGGCCAGGGGCAGTGCTCAGTTTGGATACCTGGCAGTCCCCCGGCCTGGAGAGTCCAGAACCGCAGGCCACTGTGTGGATCTGTGCCTGCACAGAAATGGTTGCGTGCGCGGGTGCTGTATCCGCATGCCTGTGGCCGTCCAAACAACCAATGGGGCTGGAGAAATCCAAACGCGGAAGCACACCCCCCATCCTGGGAGAACGGCTGATGGGGGCAGTCAGAGTGGGATGCCGGGTGAGGCTGCCCCTAATGGAAAAGACCCCCACTTTTACCCTGTGAATCAGCCCCCCAGCTCCCAGGGCTCCGTTTGCGGGAATGACCTTGGAGGAGCCCGCCTTCCGACACGCACGTGCATTTTCTGAGACAGCTGAGAGTCCCACCAGCAGGCGTCCTTCCTGCGGCTGGGCGGGCGTAGCCAAGTTGTGTGGCCAGGTGCCATCCGGCTGACCCATTTCTCTGGTCCCTCAGGGCTGAGGATGTCACTCCACGTTCTGGACATTGCAGCTACATCTGGCAAACCCAGCACTTCCGTTACTAGGACCGACCGGAAGGTCACCAGGGACTAGAAAGTTGCTTTGTTCCTCTTAAACTTGTAGAAGTGGAGGAACTTTTGATTTCCTGGTTGTTGAATTTCACAGGCATTGCCATACTCCAGGGTGAACTGTGGGTTCTTGATCGTCATACTTTTCCCCTCTGCCCCTTCTCTTCTTCAGGATTGGGGGTTCCCTCCCCATTGTCTTTGCCTACTTCTCGGAATTCCTCTCGCGGGAGAAGCGAGGGGAGCACCTGAGCTGGCTTTGCATGTTTTGGATGATCGGCGGCCTCTATGCCTCCATCATGGCCTGGAGCATCATTCCGCATTATGGTAAGCCTGGATCAGGGTCCAAGTTTTAATTCAGCTTGAGGGATTAACAGACTTTCCACTGCCCGTGTGGCCAGGCAAAGGCCCAGCAGAGTTGTGGGAAGAGCGAGCGCTTCTGTTGCTCTCGTGGTCTGGGGGCTTCTCACTGGAGGAAACCGAAGTCCAGGGTTGGCCCGACCTTCCAGCTTCCAGCCTGAATCATTTCTGCATGATGGAAATTTTGTCCATAATTTCATTCCATTTCTGCATTCAGCTGAATGTTTAAAAACAAACTGCCCTAAATATATATCTTCAAACTGGGGAGATGGTTATTGGGTTTGCATTTGCATGCAAAATTACCAGATCTGCACATCTGGAAGAGGAAACGGGGGATGCAGCCACACAGCATTTTTCTCCCTTTTCCAAACTCTGCGATGGAGTTCACAAATGTGTCACAAAAAGACCTATCACAGGGAGGGAGCAAGCACAACAAGTAGCATATATTGAAGGAAAGTATATATACAATGCATTATATTAGGGGGATTTGTTTGGGGAAATGAACATATTTAGAAATGTATGTACAAAAATGCATACATTGAGAGAAATATGTGTAAAAATATATACACATTTTCCTGCGTACTGTTTTAGGAAGATAATGAAGAATTTTTGAATGCAGAAATGAGATGGAATGAACTTAATTCGGGACAAATAACAAACTGAGCAGAATCAAACTTGGCAGAGTCATCCATCCCCGGGATTCAATGTGCATTCTCTCTCAAATGATGTCTTTAAATGCATATTCAGATACATTTGACTCTCCAAGGACCGCATCCAAATATTCAGCATGCAGCAAGCTGTGGGGAGACCCATGTGGCTACACCCACGCAGGCGGGGTGTGTCGTGTCGTGTCGTTAACCGAGATGCAACTCCTCAGGCAGCCCTAGCTGTGCCCGAGCCCAAGCCTGAGGCTAACCCATTCCCCTTTCCTGTTGCCAGGATGGGGCTTCAGCATGGGGACCAATTATCACTTCCACAGCTGGAGGGTCTTTGTGGTGGTCTGCTCCCTGCCCTGCATCGCGTCTCTGGTGGCCCTGAAGTTCATGCCGGAGAGCCCACGCTTTCTGTTGGAGGTAAGAAATGGGGAGGGTGCGCTTGTTTTACCGGTGCCGCTGTGCAGAACGGGATTAGCTGGTGGACCAGATGGACATTAGCTGTCCGTTCCTTCTCTCCAAGTGTGGGGAGAAAAACCTCTGTGCCCCGCAGCATGAAGAAAGGCACTTGAGCAGATGAGTCCTTGCCTTCAGGACGGGCGTGCTGGATTTCACCCACGCTTCTAATGGAAGCAAAATAGCCACCGCTGGGGTCTGTTGCTGGAGTTTCCCCATGCTGGTCCACCCCATCGCTGTCTGTGAGCTGCTGTGGCTCAAATGGGATACGTGCACATTGGCTTAAAGCACGCGCACTTCCCCCCAAATGTGCGTCTTTTGAGGGGCGCTTGCCCCCGAAGCGTGCATTTGGCACATTGGACCGCACGCCCGGGAAGCTCAGCCCCCCAAAAGCGCTTGTGTTGGGTGTGCAGAGGTGAACAGGAGATGCTCTGCTGGGAAATGAACGGCAAGGAAATGCGTGTGCGTCCTGAGACGCGGCTCTGCTCCGTCAGGCTGTCCTGGCGCTCCGGGGGATGTGGCATCCAAGAGGGTCACGGCATGATTGACGGAACAGGCATGGCCTGAGGTCCTGGAGGACACGCTGCTCTTGAGGTCCCTTCTTTTGGTTTTCCTAGATAGGGAAGCACGATGAAGCCTGGATGGTCCTCAAACAAGTCCATGACACCAACATGAGAGCCAAAGGCGAGCCAGAGAGAGTGTTTACGGTAAGTGCGGTTACGTCCTGGAAACATGCTTTCCCCTTCACGGTGGGACCAGGCCAAGGCTTCTCAGGGCAACTGCTTCGAAAGACTTGCACAAAGTTGCCCCCAAAAGCAAGGATGGGGGCAAGCTGACCCGAGCACTGGCTTAAATGGCGTTGCTCGAGGGCACACAAACTTCGCTGCAGCTTAGCAATGTGCGTGCTCAGCAGGGAGACTTACCAGCTCAGCTGACCCTACTGGCCTTGTGCTAGAATGCATTTACACTCGTGCAGCACAATGGATGCTCAGGCCACCTTTGACTGGGTGCTTCGTTGGTATTGGCATTCAGGAGCCAGGTTGGAATCCGTGCTTTCTTCCAAACAGGCCCGAGTCCGAGGCAGGGATGCTAAACCTCCTGTCTCTTCATGAGCTAGCGATGATGGGACTGGAGCCCAACACAACTGGGTGGCATTATGTGGCTGGAAGGCTGCTCCCAGGATCAGTTAATCAGTTTGCACATAGGCAGCTGACCCACTGGTGTTTTAGCAGTATTTTAGCCCGAACCCGCAGAGAGCTCCACCCAGAGGCATCCTCTGGCCCACTTACTTAGACACGGTGTGACCTGCTTCGGAACAGATGGCCAAACCTTGGGCCACACATGCAGTTTTGCTTTCCAGAGGATTCTAGCCATGTCACTTCTGGCTCTGGTGCCCCAGTTCTGCACTGGATCATGTCAGTGAAATGGCTTAAAACCCCACCGAGATGCCCTCAGAGATGTGAAGGGCTAAACTTTGGCTTGGTTTGACTCCCTCAGGTGGCCAGCATTAAAACTCCAAAGCAGTTGGATGAATTCATCGAAATACAGAGCTCCACAGGGACGTGGTACCAGCGTTTTCTAGTCAGAGCTACAACAATCTTTAAACAGGTAGGGTGCATGAGCTTTGCTAGCCCCGTTGCCTGTGTTCAGGCACCCTTTGATCCATCTTCTGTTCACCGATGGAATCTGATGGCGTCTTCTGCAGATGTGAATGCACTTTTGAAGCCATGCAGATCTCCCTGCAATCACATCTTAATGCTCTAATCTACGGAGAGTGGAAGAATGCACATTTTCAGCCAGTCCTTTTTTTTTGGGGGGGGGTGGTTATCATTGTTTTCCTGTGAGTAAATTTGCTACAATTTTTGGTTAAGGGATGTGGCATAGAAGTGCAAGAAAACAAACAAGCAAAATGAGCAAGTAAAGGAAAACAGGTCCACAATCTGCAAAAAACGTGCAACTCAGGAAAAGTCGGTCCAAAATCCAGACACGGGCGAAACACAGCAGTGACTGGACCCAGCTGTGCCTGGGCTGGAGCGAGGCCGTTGGGCGCCATGTTGCCTGCGAGCAAATGCACTAGCCATCAGCACGGCAGCCACTGCGCCCACCTTGCCTGGGTGAAGCCATGCCCCCGGCCCTCCTCGCACAGCCCCCGCGATGGGGCCCCTCTGGAGCCCCCCGAGGGTGGGGACTGTCCAGTTCATTCCCCCCAGGAGGGCTGTCCCAAAACGGGCAACAGCACAGCAGCAGCATCTGGCTGTGCACTACCCAGCTTCCTGGATTCAACTGCGAAGCAACGTGCCACTGGGGTGCTTTGCTTCCAACCACAAGGACGCTTTCGCTTGAGTAAAACGAAGAAATGCATTTTGAGAACAAACTCAGCCCAAGGTGCAGGCTTCTAGGAAGTCCTTGGTGTACAACTAAGCCCAGTGACTGAGTTTCTCAGTCTGCTTCATAGCGCAGACTGAAAAACTTCCTTTTTTTGTTCTAGACTGAGCTTCTGATGGAAAACTCCCATAGGAATGCATTTATGCACAAGCGAGGCTCCCCAGGCCATTCACAACAAATACAGCCATAAAATGCAAAGTGATAAAATGCGCCGTAAAAGTTTAACGCTTCCGAAACGTGCTATGAAATAAAAAGGAACGCCCAGATCCTCCCGTGGTGACAGTTCCCCATTCCTGCCCATTGGCAGCATGCTTATCTTTGGTGCGTGGTTGCCAGGAGCACGCGGCGCTCAGGAGCCGGCCTCGCCGCTGTTCGGTGACCAGTCCTTTGGGTTTCCCAGGTGATAGACAACGTGGTGTACTGCTTGACGGCCCAGCACAGGATGAACACGCTGTTCCTGGCAATCGTGTGGTTTTCCATGGCCCTAAGGTATGTGTCTCGAGCACCTCTCCCTGGGACTACCCTTCTAGAGCGTCTGGAAACGCCCCTGCCCCCAGGGGGGGCAAGAGTGCAGGGTAAAGGGGGAGTCCAGCCGCAGTTGCATCGCTTAGGGCTTCAGGGCCTCAGACCAGTGACTGGCTAAACCTGCGCTGTGCTCACCAGGATTTGCTCTCTGTGTCAGGCCTGGCCCTGCCCCTGCCTCCCGAGCAGAATCATGAAAGGCCTAAGAAGAGCCCCTGACAGAAGGCCCAGAACCCCGCCCCCCTTTAATTCTGTTTCTCCTGCAGTTACTACGGCCTTATCGTCTGGTTTCCTGACATGATTCGCTATTACCAAGAGCTGGAGTATAAGTCCCATGTGAAAATTTTTAATGGGAAAAGCGTGAAAGATATCACCTTCAATTTCACCCTGGAAAATCAAATCCACTGGAATGGGACGTATTATAATGACAGGTGAGAGATGCCGCCGAGAACCCACGCACCTGGCCTACCGCACGAGGACCGCGATCTCCTCGCCACGATCTCCTCGCTTGGTGTAGGAGAGGCAGTGTGGCGAAGTGGTGAGGGTGCTGGGCTGGGACTCAGGAGGTCGAGTTCTGGTCCTGGCTCAGCCAAGAAGCTCCCTCAGTGACGTTGGGCAGTCCCAGACTCTCTGCCTCACCCACCTCGCCCGCTGGGCTGTTGCGAGGGTAGAACAGCAAGGAGGGCCTCCTGGCGGAAAGATGGGATAACATGGGGCAAACCACGAACATCTTGCTGGTTCTTGGGGTCGTTTCTTTGGGTTTCAGCGTGTGTTTGGCAGCCCAAAGATGGCGGACATCACTGCAGGATTCCAGTTTGCAGTCTGTGCGTCGCGTAAGAATCGACGGGTGGCCCTACTGTTAGACAAGGGGGATCTTTGGAATGTGCTCAAAGCGTGGCCAACTATTAGTTAGTGGCAGGTAGACTTGGTGGACTTTGTGGCTGAATAACTTGGTTGCCCTTGGGCAACATCCACCTCGATTTGGTTGGTGGGAGGTCGGCGGGAGGGGCCCTTCTCCGGGAGCCCTCCGTGAAAGGAATTAGGAGGGTGGGTACTCGGAGGAGGGCCTTCTCTGCGGTGGTACCTAAGTTATGGAATGCGCTCCCCAGCGAGGTCCGCCTGGCACTGTCGTTATTTGTTTTTCGGCACAAGGCGAAGACCTTTTTATTTAAGCAGCATTTTAACTGTTAATATTATTGGATTTTATCTGGCCAGGGCGGCTTATTTTATACTGTATTTTTGTATTTTTAATCTAATGTTTATATTTTTTAATTTAAGATTATAATTATTTTAATTTATTGTTGTAAGCCACCCCGAGGCTTCGGCGAATGGGGCGGCATAAAAATGTTTTAATAAATAAATAAAATAAATAAACTGGAGGCTAAATATTTCAGGCCAGCCAGTGGAGAAGGCAGCCGGTCCGCCAACGGCTGCAAAGACACGATCGCTATGCCTGACAGCGAGCGTCCGTCTGGCCGTTTTGCAGGCGGAATGGCGGCCAGGCAAGTCCTTGCACTGCGCGTTCCTGCGGACGTCCAGCAGGAAGTGCATCCCAGCAGGTCTGCCTTGTGGACACCCTGCCCATGGCTGCGCAGGTGGAATTCTCCTTTCGCGCTTGTGACCCATGGGCTTTGTGAACTTGTATACTTAGTGCAAATGATTGTGTGCTTCTGTGCAAAGAATTACATACCTTCTGCAAAGAAGCTGTTAGCATTCTGAAGCATTCACAGACTGGCTCTTGGCTCAGGGCACTTCCTGGCCAGGGCCAAGTGCAGAGAGAAATCTGGTGAGTGCAAGCAACCTGGATTCCTGCCCACGGTTTGCATGCATGAATGCGCATGACTTTCATTTTCACTCTTATTCATATTTATTTGAACCATCTCTATCCTGCCTCTACAAGCTCAGGTTGCTCAGCATCCACAATTTAAAATTACATTTACTAAAAAACTTCCTTCTGTATGAAAACAACTCCCAGAGATAAAAAGGAGAATCCGATCAAGTCTGTTTAGACTGAATGGTTTCCTCAGCTCAAAATCATTTACAGTGCTTCTCTGGGGCTAGGAAGAAAGGGCATCTCATTTCATTTCATTGACATCCAATGCTCCCTGGCACTATACAATGATTAAATACTCCAAAAGCTGTTTGCATCAGGGGTGTTGCTTGGCCCTGAAAATAATCTGGGCCTCAAGCCCACAAGAGAGAACTGGACAAATCTAAGGACACCTCCGGTGTTTCAGCAGGACTATGCGACAGAGGTGGCTTCTGGCCTCCAAAGGAAAGATTTGGGGCAACAGCCTTGGTGGGACAAGGGCGAATGCCACTGCTAGTCTATATACAAAGATGTAGAGAACATGCACACACAATCACACGCAAGCAGGCCATTTCAGCTAAGCAACTTCCAGGAGGTCGTGCCATACACTCTGTGACTGCAGGAGACAAGGCCCTCCGCCCTCTTATTCGACGAAGTGCAGCAATGATTTTCCAGCACTTGGAAAGAGACCCACATTCCCCATTGAGTCCCTAGTGAATGTGATCCAGTTTGCTCCTGGGTCTTCCAGGCCTGTGGCCAGGCGAAATGTGCTGCAAAGCGGGGGAGTGTGTGGCTGTTTACCTTGTTTGAAGGGCTTTCAAGACAAAATGGCAGCGTTTGCTTTAGATATTTATAATTGGAAGGGTGGGAGGCAGAAAAAATGGGGGCAGCCATCCCAGCCTATTCCAGACCGACTGGGTTGGAAGATCCAGTGAATACTGTTGAGTGTTTCTGAATTTCACCTTGAAGCTCAGTTCATCCCCTTTTCATGCTTTTGCAGCTGTTTTAGCAGGCTTTTTTAAAACATACACTTCCTTGGCACTGGCTTAAGAAATGAGTACATTTCCAAAAAGCATATTTTTAAATGCTCATTTTTAAAGCAGTGTACCCCTTCTGATCACCAATACAAACTTAGGAAAATGGAGACATTGTGAAGGGTGGGATATAAAAGCTGTAAATCAATCAATCAATCAATCAATCAATCAATCAAACAAACATCTGAGCATTTCCTGAAAAACTGCACAATTTCAGGGATGTTAATGTGGCAAATTTGGGGCAAAACCTACTTAAAATAAATTATTGGTCGCATCCCTCCCAAAGAGGCTGCTTTTCGCCTTGGGGACACCGCCCCCTCGTGGTTATGGGAGGAAAGTATTTGAAAGGCCAATTTCTGAGTTACTTTTTGGCATTCTATTCTAAGTGATGCACTAGAGGTTAGAAAGGGCTAGACAAAATTGCATTTGCATGTATATTCTTCTGATTCATATTTTTCTTTAACATTTCCAGCAGTGAATACTTTCGGATTATGTTAGTTTATTATATTTCTATCCCATCTTTTTTCTGTCCAGTTACTCAAGGCAGATTTCATGACTCTCTCCTTCCTCTCAGTCTTATCCATCCAGCAACAACCCTGTGAGGTAGACTGGGTTGAGGGCCTATGCCTATTCCAGAGTCACTCAGTGCACTCCATGGCCAAGCGGAGACTCGAACCTAGGCCGCCTGAGTCCCAGTCCCGTACTCTTCACCACTCCACCAAACGGGCTCTCATTTGCTGATATGCAGAAACTGAATTTACAGGATGTAACATTAGTGCCCTAAAATTAACGAAGAGCTCAAGTTTAAAATCTGCGGAATCAATGGTCACCACTGAAATCCCTTCATCCCGGAAACATTCAGAAATTCAGATTTCAAAAGCTGTATTGCAGAACAACTGCAAATTGGGGGCTTACAAACACGATTTTCTGGCTCCCCCAGATGCTCTTGCTCCCGCTCCTCTTCCTCATCATGGCCACCCCTTGTTGGCTAGACAGTCTGAAAGCTGATGAGCAGGCTGCCCGGCAGATCCTGCACCCCCTCTTCACCGCCCAGATGGGGCAGGAAAGTGGTGAGGTGGGGTGGGCTGGGGAGGCCAGGCCAACAGCCTTCATTGCCTGTAGATGTAAGAACGCTTTTTAAAACGTTCTTGTTAAAAACATTGGCTGGCCTAATTAACTTCTTTTAAGGAAGTGAGGTTCAGAGCACTGGGGCTACTACCAGACCTTGCCACTGACCTTCTCCAGGTTATCCATGAACAAAGAAGGGATGGAGTATTTGAGCAATAAGCCTGACCAGGTGAGGGTTTTTTCTCCATTAATGGGGACTCTGGCTAGGTAAGGAAGTCCCAAGCAAGGCTTGTCGTCTGTTCTAGCCACAGGCTAGAAATAATGTATCTACTTGTTCCTCCGTCCAGGACCTCCATTACCTACCTTAAGGCTGAACCTTCACCTGAGAGTAACTCCCACAGAGCTCAATGGGGCTTTCTCTTGAGTAAACATGTACAACAGCTTTGTGCACTTTTCTAATGAAACAATCAGGCTATGCACTCAGATAGCTGGGATGGAGATGGTGAATCTTTTTCTGTGTTTCAGCTTCATTAAAATGAAATTCCGAGCAGTGACTTTTGAGGACTCGGTGTTTGAGGAATGCCTCTTTGAGGATGTCACTTCTACCGATACCTTCTTTAAAAACTGCACCTTCACAAACACTTTATTCTACAACACAGGTAACGTGGCAGAACAGGGCATCTGGGTTTGCAGCTTGTATCTGGGTCGATGTTTTCATTTGTGAAAAAACAGAAGAGGGAGGGAGGACCCTGGATGATGTCCTGACAGGCCAGATTCTAAGGATATCTCAGAGGAGAGACAGTAATTATGGGAGATTTCAGTCTCCTGGATATTACTTGGGAGACTCACTCGGCGGTGACAGCCAGGTCACGTCGCTTCCTAGAAGCTATAGAGGGAGGGTTTTTCACACAGAGGGTCTGAGAGGTGACGAGGGGAGGAAACATCCTTGACTTGGTCTTGACCCATAGGGAGGAGCTGATAGATGAAGTACAGATTAGGGGAGCTCTGGATGCGAGTGATCACCCCATCCTTTGCTTTGAGATCAGGGGACTGGGGACGTGCAGCAGGTCGAGCACTAGAAGCTGGGACTTCAAGAGGGCCAACTTTGGCCAACTGAAGGCCAGACTGGGGCAAGTCTCCTGGGATAGGTTACTGGAAGGTAAGCGAGTTGAGGAGGGGTGGATAGCACTCAAAAGGGAGGTTTTGGAGGCACAAGCCTTGACAATACCTCTAGTCAGTAAGGTGGGGAGGCGGAGGAAAGCACCGCCATGGATGCGAAAGGAGGTGGTTAGAGGGATTAGATGAAAGAGGAACCTCTGTAGGAAATGGGTACTGGGGCAAATAGACAAAAGTGTATACCAGGAGGAGGAGGCCCATTGCAGAAGGATTCTTCGGAAGGCTAAGGCTGATTACGAGCTGAGACTTGCCAAGAATATCAAGAGCAACAAAAAGGGCTTCTTTCAGCATGTAAATAGGAATAGGAAGGGGAGACAAGTGGTGGGACCGCTAAATAAGGAGGAAGGGGATCCAGTGACTGATATGAGGGAACAGGCACAGATGCTAAATGACTACTTTGCCTCTGTGTTCTCCCCAAAGCAGGACGGGGGATATCCGCATAGGAGATTAGATGAGGCTGGGGACTTAGGGGCACATATTAGAGTCAACCCCCTTGAAGTTGAGGGGCTCCTCAGGGCATTGGACATTACAAAGGCGCCAGGCCCTGACGGGTTACACCCGAGAGTACTTAGGGAGTTGGCAGGGGTTCTCTCACGCCCGCTGGCCTCCATTTTTGAGACCTCGTGGAGAATGGGTGAAGTTCCAGAGGACTGGAGGGTGGCGTCAGTGGTCCCAATTTTCAAAAAGGGTAGTAGAAAGGACATGGGGAATTATAGACCGGTTAGCCTTACGTCCATTGTAGGAAAAACTATGGAAAAGCTCATAATAGAGAGAGATCTAGTGGTGCAAGATAGGGAAGGGAGGCTGACAGCCACACAACACGGCTTCTGCAAAAACAAGTCCTGCCAGACAAACCTTGTGGAATTCTACGACAAGGTTTCGAGATGGCGGCTAGATGGAGGGGATGCAGTGGATGTGGTATACCTGGATTTCAGCAAGGCCTTTGACAAAGTGCCCCATGATATCCAGGTGGAGAAACTGAGGAGTTTTGGGATATACCAAAGCACTGTCCGGTGGATTAGGGCAGGGTTGACTGTCTGAAAGCAGAAGGTAACCATTAGTGGGTTATCGTCGGGATGGCGGCCAGTGACAAGCGAGGTCCCCCAGGGCTCTGTCCTGGGGCCGATCCTGTTTAATCTTTTCATTAACGACATGGAAGAAGGGGTGAACAGTCTGCTGATCAAATTCGCAGACGACACTAAAACTGGGGCAGTGGCCACAACTGAGGAGCAGGTACTCCAGATCCAGAAGGATCTGGACAGACTATGGAAGTGGGCAGGAGACAACAGGATGGCGTTCAATGTGGATAAGTGCAAGGTCTTGCACTTGGGGCATAGGAATGGGTGTCATAAGTACAGGTTAGGGGACAAGTGGCTGGAGAGCAGCACTTGTGAAAGGGACCTCGGGGTGCTGGTTGACTGCAGGCTGAACATGAGCCAGCAGTGTGATGCGGTGGTCAAGAGGGCGAACGCCACCCTTGGTTGCATAGCCAGAAGTGTGGCTTCTAGATCGAGAGAGGTATTGCTACCACTCTACACGACTCTGGTGCGTCCGCAACTGGAGTATTGTGCTCAGTTTTGGGTCCCTCATTACAGCAAGGATATAGCCAGGTTGGAGTCAGTGCAACGTAGGGCCACAAGGTTGGTGGCTGGTTTGCAGGGGATGGGGTATGAGGCGAGACTGAGGGAACTGGGTCTCTTCAGCCTGGAGAAGAGGAGACTCAGAGGGGATCTGTTGGCGACATACAGGCCTGTGAGGTGATGTCACGCGGAGGTGGGCAGAGACCTGTTCTCCCCTGCAGAGGAAGGCAGGACGCGCTCCAATGGAGCAAAACTCAGGGAACCAAGGTTCAATTTGGATGCCAGGAAGCACTTCCTGACAGTTAGGACCCCGAGGGTGTGGAATGGGCTTCCACGAGAGGTCATTGAGGCCCCTTCGGTGTGGGTGTTCAAGGAGAGGCTGGACGTCCACATGGTGGGCATGTCGTGAGCGGAGCCGGCTGGTGCCGGAGGTCGGACTTGATGGCCCAGGAGGCCCCTTCTGCCTCGCTCTGTTTCTATGAATGTGGAAAAGCTACAAATTTGCTTTTAGCATGAACATGGTATTTACTGTTAATCTGGTGCAAACAGCAAGCTATGGATAGGAAAATGAATGCAGCAGGCAGGCAATGGACAATTTGGCAGGAAAATATTAGGACTGAACAAAGAATGTTTGCTCATAGAAGGTGGGCAAAAACCACCTTACACCTTTTGCAGGGCGTCTTGCTTCATGCAAAGATATAGTCGCACTACTGCGGGCGTCAAGGAAGAAGGAAAAATGGTGACTTCCGCTAGCAGCGACCAGGGGATTCTGTTATCACTGACGCTGCGTTGCCACACCCAGCAGTAAATTTCCCTTGTGACCCCAAAGAAACAGCGTTCCCCATTTTTCCATGTTGGGATAGGTGCTAAAAATTGGGAGGTGGGGTATTTTGGCTCCGTCCTAGTGATTTGCATTCTGGAATTATTCATCCGCTGGACAGCACCCCATCTTGGATGCTTTGACTGGGGTGCCTTTTTGAAGACAGTTTACTTGGAAAGAAAAGGGGAAGCTTGAGAGCTGCTCTGCCGGTGTATTGACAGTAGGAATGGGGGCCAACAGCAATTCCGTTCACACTGTAAACAAACTGCACCTATTTTCACTCTCAAACGAATGTGTCGACTGAAACGCAGTTACCAGGCTGTGAACTTTGTGATGGAATGCTTCAATTTAAAAAAAGTGTTTATATAAGGCAAAATACATATGGTAATACATGCATTAGGAGAAATGCGTCCAAACCTGCATGTGAATTTCCACACATTTTTAAAAATAAAATTATTCTGTGTTCATATACTGGCCTTAGGAGCTGGAAAAAAGAGAAACTGAAATGGAGAGCTTCTTCTATCCCTTGTCTACATTACAGTTTTAAACTCAAAAGACCTTCTCCTGTGACTGGAACAGTAGCGCCCTCAGGTGGCCACTAAGGCTCTCTAGCAAACGCTACCAAGCCCTGATTTCCAGGATGTTTGCGCAGAAGTGCCGAAAGTTCAGCTGCCCGTAGGTGGTGCATGTTTTTCACCTGCTACGATATGCTCCTTCCCCGCCTCTCTCTCCCTCAGACCTCTACAGGGATAAGTTCATTGACTGCAGATTTCTGAATTCCAACTTTTCCCATGAGAAGAAGGGCTGCCACATGGATTTCGAGCGAGACAACGATTTCCTCATTTACCTCGTCAGCTTCTTGGGTAGCCTTTCGGTGCTGCCTGGCAACATCATCTCGGCCCTGCTGATGGACAAGATCGGAAGGATCAGGATGATCGGTGAGAGGGTGTGGGGGGCGTGGCGGTGTGAGAGCGGTCGGACACCACTGTGTGGTGGGGGCCCTCCTTGTGGTTCGAAGGAGCCGAAGCGGCATGTGGGGGGACAGCCTGGTGGTGCCTCCGGAATCAGGGAGGTGGGCTGGGATGACTGAATGCCCCACCCACACCAACCCAAGGAGGAGGGGGAACATGGATCTGCATCACAGCAATGGAAGCAGACGATAGGGGAAGCAAAACTGGATTTTGAGGAGCACTCAGAAGCAGGCTGGGCCATGGGATCCGTGGACCACAAGGGTTACTAAGGACAAAGTAAAACTACAGAGAAGTTGGATGAAATCCTTGAAAGGCTGCCACAAAGAGGAAGGTCAGGGTCTTTTCTCTTCCTAGTTATCCCTGAGTGCAGGACACAGAACAATGGGCCCAAGTTGCAGGCCACATATAATGCAACCATTAGGAGCAGAGAGAGAGAGACGCATGTGATCTGGGATGATGAAAGAAAATGACAAGGGATGTCTAGCGCTGGAGGAAAGCGTTATTAAAGGTAAAATGATCAAACATGTCTAGGGCAGTGGCTCCCAGACTTTTCCGGCCGTGGAACCTTTCCGAAGACATTTTTTCCCCATGGAACCCTACCTCTATCGCTGATTTTTACTCGCCATTGTGAACCCACAACATCCTTCCCTCTTTCATCTGCTCCTATTGCCCAAGTGCTTTGCAGAAAGGAGTAGGTTTGGAGAGAAAACATTTTAAATAGAAGGAATGAAAAAAGCAATTATATGATGATATCCCAAATGAATTCTTTCGATTGTTCCCAATACTATGCAATAGAGTCCCAGGAACCAAATGACACGATGCATTTCCTTGTTTAATGCTTGGATGCCAACCAACAATCGAATAGTTGGCCTCACATGGTTTCATTTTAAGATCTGTTTTAAATCTGATTTTTGAGATTTTTTGCGGAACCCCCAGGTCCTGCAGAACACAGTTTGGGAGCCGCTGTGCTGGGGTAAGGCTTGGTTGCTACATGTGAGCCCTTCCCCCCAAACATTTTAGGGTTCTTTGAGAGGGTCAGCCAGCCTGTGGGTGGTGGTGATCCAGCAGGCATTGCTTACTGGGAGTTTTGCAAAGTCCCTCACCAAACTGAGCTGCCCTGGGATGAGAAGAGAGGTCCTCGGGTGGACTGGTAACTTTTAAAGAAGTGAAAGTAAGGAGCAGGTGCAAACTGACATTTCTTGCAATGGAAGATATAAACTGTAGGGTCTCCCAAAAATGTTTATTCTGAGACGTTCTGTGCCCTGAAGTAGACCAACCTAGGAGGCACCATGGAATTGACTCCAGGACTAGCATCATCCTGCCTTTCCCACTTTCTCCTGCAGGGGGCTCCATGCTGATCTCCGCTGTTTGCTGCTTCTTCCTGTTCTTTGGCAACAGTGAGTCAGCCATGATTGGCTGGCAGTGTCTCTTCTGCGGTACCAGCATCGCTGCCTGGAATGCCCTGGACGTGATCACGGTGGAACTCTACCCCACCCACAAAAGGTGATGCACCCCACCCACATTTCCTCCGGGGGGGGGGGGGGACTGGATAAATAATTGCTGGGAAATCCCAATGGCTGACAATTAGGCACCTTCAGAATCGTGAAAGTTGGACGTGTGTACAGATATTAAGATTGGACTTGGACCCTGATCGGTCACTTCAGAAAATCACCCTATGCTGCCCAGACCAAGGCTGCTTCAACTCGGGGCAGAACCCACGTTCAGATTTCCATATGAAACATAGAATTAAAGGGGCTTGAACTTATTTTTCAGTCTACCATGATATTTGCAGGCATGCCAGCTCTCACACAGAGGATTATGCCTACCAAAGCTCAGAAAAATAGGCGATTTGTGTCACACGGACCTTTATATTTTGATTTCTTTAAGGAGAACTGTCTTTAAAAAACTAATTTTTAAAGCTGCTCAATTTTCAGCAGAACGGCATGGCATTTCAGAGATCATTGCCTCTTCCCAGAGGAACAATCTCACCAAGTTTCAGCCGACTAGGTTCCAGGACTCTTTGTGCAGCAGTGGCCTTGCCATTTTGAAAGGGGAAGGCACCTTTCTCTCCCGGTGCCGTGTGGACCGTTCCTCTGGTCTTCAGCAGGGCAGTTAAGGTCAGGCTACTCCAGAGGTGAATGAACTCCTGAGGTCTTAGATCTGTGGAGGTGCGACTCCTTCTGAACCCCTCTTCCTTTTCCGCAGAGCCACGGCCTTTGGAATACTCAACGGGATCTGCAAATTTGCGGCCATCCTGGGGAACTCCATCTTTGCCTCCTTCGTCGGGATAACCAACGTGGTCCCCATCCTCCTGGCTTCCTCCGCCCTGGTTGGAGGAGGCCTTCTTGCCCTGCGGCTGCCAGAAACCCGTGACCAAGTCCTCATGTGAGCCGTTCGATGAAGAAACGACACATCGGGGCAGCATCGAACCTGTGTTGAAAAGGAAAGCAAAAGTCTGCCAAAATTCCTCTGCTGATACCTCAGATTTTGGGGGCGGGAGGGGAAGAGGAAGAGGCACCCCATGAGATAATCTGAAAACCTTAGTTCTGTGGACTTGCTGTGGGGACAGAGCAGTTCCCATATCTTGGCCTGAGCTTTGCTCACTGCTTCAAAGCTGTCACTTTGGGGGTGCTGGGCAGGCGAACCCCCGTCTTTCTGCTGCACATGTGTGATTATTTAGGCACGAGGTGACAGCAGCCTCTTGGAAGCTCGGCAGAACCGCCTGACCTCTACCTTTCTGTAGCTTGCGGGGCCACTGAGAAGGGGACATGTGACTTCCCCAGGGACAGCGAGGCCTCAAGGAAGTTCACAGCTCAGGGCTTCAGGCTCGCAAAAGCCTCCCTTCTGCTGGCTGAGCATTGGTGGGATTCTCTCCCGAGGACCTGACCGAGAGTACGTGCCATGGCCGCCTGTGTTCCCAGGGAACGCTGCTCAGCATCTTCTCCATATCAGGGTTTTCCAGTTGGCTAAGGACGAGAAACATACTAATTTATTTCCCCACCCGGGCATAGATTTGAAGGGCCTCTTTTAAGTCATCTGCTCAAGTCTTTGTTGGGGCAATCCTATATGTTTCTACTCAGAGGTGAGTCCTGTTCAAGTCAAGGGGACTTACTCCCAAGCAAGCATGGATTGCCTTGCAGTTTTAGATTAATCTCTGGATAATTCTGCTTGCTGGTTTACTGACCGTGGGGTGGGGGTTGCCCTGAAAAGAAGCCTAAAAACCCAACACAGTTTTGAAAAACACCTTTCCATTTTGTTTTCTCCAAGTGATTTATGAAATGCATTGTAAATGTTCCAGCTACCCACAAGTATTTTAACTGCAGCAGCTGCTGCAGATCTGGAGAGAGAGAAAGAGCCAGAGAGAGGATGTCTGTTTTCTGTTGCTCTTGGTCTGACTAGTTTCATTTGTGTTGTTTCCTGGACACTGAAGGATTCCTGAAACCAAAAATGTACATATTCTGCAGTGTAAATAGGGACAAGGGTGTATGTGACCGAGTGAAGGATATGGTAACTGCAGGAATTGTCAATATTACAGTCATGTTAATTAATGAAAATGGTGGTGTTATATATAGTTTTCCATCCTACTGGACGTGTACAGCACAATTTGCAGTGTAGGTATTTAAATTTGTTTTTTTTTTTTCCTGCCCTGGAGAACTACAATCAACAAAAGCTGACGTTTGGTATAGATTCAGCCCACAGCTTCAGTCCAGAAGCAAAGGTTGTTTTTTGTATTTTGGGGGGGAAACACCTATAGTTTTGAGGATGTGTGAGGCCCTCCTTTGCGCATCCTACTGAAAGAATCCAGGCTTGGCTGCAAAGTTTGATGGCTAGAATAGAATAAGCCAGGCTTTGTGGTTGTGGACAAAGCACAGATCACAGCCACACTGGAAGGTCCCATCAAGGCTGGCTGGGCACCTGTAGGGAGCACTAATGTTGCTGAACTCTGTTTTGAGCTATTGTGAGGAAGAAGAAATGGAAGGCACGATTCACCTTGATGCTTCTAAGAAACCTTCACCCAAACCTGGTTCCAAAGACTTTCCTTCAGTGTTTCACTTGTATCCGGGTTCTGGCGGAAAGTTTGCTGCCAATAGTTCCATCTCTTGCAATGATCTTCTAGTTTAAATACTGCTAATAGCACCTATCAGGAAAAATGAGCCATGCACAGAAGCTGTCATTTGAAAAACTGCCTCTCACACCAAATATCTCTTAGGGCGTTGACAGACTGAGCTGAAAACCAGCTGACATATTATGCATAATCTAAGCTCGCATGAAATGTATTCTCTTCCTTCGGCGCGATGAGGTGTTAATCCCCAGCTGTTTCCTTCCCCATCTCTTTAATGATGTCAAAAAAGCCATACTGTCTGTTGCAGTCTTAGAAAAAACGGACAGGGAATTGCCAGACTTATTCCTACACCTATATGGACGCCTTCGTACTGAAGCTGCAACCCGTGTGTCAACACTTCTTCCCGCTAGCGGTCGGGTGTGTGGTCGTAATCTAACCTGTACAGAACCAGTGCCACGTCCGGTCGCTTTCACCATCACTGTTCCTGCATTTTTCTAACTGTTTCGTTAAGGCTCGTTCAGAGCCGCTTCCTAACCCCTTGTCTAATTCCTTGGAATGCGTCTGCCACTTTGAAACTCATGTCAAGCCATGAAATTGCAATAAATGCAAACCCAATGTGTCGCTCAAGGAGTCGCAGGTACATGTAGGATTCTGACAACCCTTTTTCCAAGGTGGAATGATGGCGGCGGTGGTGCGGTGCTCCCTGTTCAACTTGCACACTCCAGGATCAAATGCTGGGGATGCAAAAACTCAGGCGACTTGGCAAATGTGGCCCGCCGGGGTCTCACACAGCCTCCCCAGTGTCCCCCAGCCATCTAGGATTTGGTGAGTTTCCAGCTGCATCACTTTGGGTAATTTGCTGCCCAAGCTGCTGGTCATAAGAGAGTCAGCTCAAGGGCCCTGGTATTTCTAGCACTCCTGGCCTTGGCCTGGCCTTAACGCCAAGGCCAGCGCCAGCCCCAAAACCAACCCTGACCCTCTCCCTGGTCCTGCTTGGAATGTGGCCTGCGCGGGATACTCCAAATCTGCATTCAGCCCTCTGGCTGAACATCCCACTGCCCACTGTAATTATGTGCTGGCAGCCGTGTGCCTGGCTTTCGTCTAGGCTCCCTGGGCCAGAGCCCAGCTGGTTCAGGTTCTGGTCATCGGGCCAGTCCCTTCGGCACCAGAATCCCCAGCTTTTCCAGGGGGGAGAGAGGAAAAAATCTGTCCACCTGCAGGGCTGGGCCTTTTGCCGAGCAGAGGGCTGGGCAGTGGCGCCTACCAGGGCGGGACCCCGGGGGAGGCATGGCCTGGAACCTGCAACCTTCTTCCGTGTCACATGCCACACAGCCAAGGGGCAAGCAAGCCGTGCTGCGAAAGGAAGAATGGGGCTGTTTGCACAGCTTGATTCCCGGAAAGCCTTGTGTGAACGTCCAGCGTACTCGGCAGGGCACTGGACTCAGGGCTGCGGGAACTGGGGCAGAGTGTGGGGAGCCAGGTCCAGGGAACCTGATGGATTCTCAGCCCAAAGAGATTCCTGGCAAGCCTGTAACTACAGCTCCCATTATTCTCAAACACTGCTCCTGTCTGGTATAGCTGTTGGGATTGGGGTGCTGCTGTGCCAATGAACCAGGGGCCTGACCGGGTGAAAGAGTTTCCTGTGAGAAGGAGAATGGGCCCTCTGGTTTGGAGAGGATCGTCGCTTGGTGGCCAGGTGCCTGCTGGGCGCACCGAAGGTGCTGCGCTTGGCCCCCGATGGCTGCCAGGCGGTCCACGCAAGCAGCACCAAGCCTGGCAGGCTGACACCACGAGAGGCTGTTTCCGACGCCCCTGGAGCGAACGCAGCCCAGGGAATGCCGCTTCCGCAGACCTTGCCCACCACGAGGGGGCACCTGCTGCACGCAGAACGAGGCCCCAGTGGTGGGAACCAGGGCCTGAACATAAGTGCTTTGCTTTGCTTCTGCCTGAGCGAGGGCTGGTGTGAGCAACTTCAGCGCATGAGAACATCTGCAGCGTTCTGTGTCCGACCGGAGCAACCTGGCGATGAGAAGCAGTGTCAATGACAACAAACCCTCTCTCTTGTTTGCCCTGACACAAGACTGGCAGGCCAGTTCTTGGACTACAACTTCCACCATGCCTGATGTGAGGTGCACGGGGTTTGGAGTGCTACTTTATGCAGAGAGGTTCACGTTCTTCCACCCCTTTCTTAGGCCCAGCTTTTGAAGATACACTGTTGGTCCTCAGCTTTGAGAACTATGCAGGAGGAGCATCGGTTTGGGGCTGGTTGCCAAAGTGCTCCTGGTGTTGCAAGGATGTAAGAAGCCCTCCCTGGCCTATGATCCAGCTCAGTCTCCCCCAGCGTGATGCTCTCCAGGTGTTTTGGACCATACAGCACATCACTGCTGCTGTTAATGAGATCTAGTCTGGTGTGGAGGGGAGGGTGTTCTGGGGAACCAGGCCACCTGAGTGCTAGTTCCCACTCAGCCTTGAAACTCACAGGGTGACTTGGGGCCAGCCACAGGCCTCAGCCCAACCTACCTCACAGGGGTGTTGTTGTGAGGATAAGATTGAGAAAGGGAAAATTATGCAAGCCGCCACGAATTCCTTGGGAGGAAAAAGAGGTAGGATATAAATACAGTGGTTCCTCGGCTCACGAACACCTCAGTTCACGACCAAATCGGGTTGCGAACAGGAATTTTAGAAAAATTTTTCCTCAGGTTGTGAACTCCGCATTGAGTGACAATCACGAATGCACCTGCCTCCCCCTGCCCCCACTGCACTTGTGATCATGCCCGTCTTCCCTGTGATTAAAAAAAAATATTTACAGATTGGATTAACCTTATTTGCATTGAACCTTATGGGAAAATTTGACTTGGCTCACAACCAATTTGGGTCATGACCAGAGTTGTGGAACGGATTGAGTTTGAGAGCCAAGGTACCACTGTATAATGAAGAAAAGAGGTGGGATATCAATATAAGAAAGACGTAACAACATGAATTGGCTGTGCTGCTGGGGAAGTCCAAAATATGAGGAATGATGCAGCACGGGAAGGGTGCCCTCGCCTGTGATTTGCTTGTCTTAGAGGCCAGCCAAAGCCTCCACAGAGGAAGCCCCTGAGCAGGGCACGGAAGGAAATAAAGGGCAGACCAGTTTAATTCAGGTCCACATCAGTTTCATGCCCATTCCCTGCATAAATCCTTTCAATATCATTTCCACAAGCAATTTCATTTTTCAAAAATGCTCAAAGTAGTAGTATTTAAAGGTGCTGTCTAATGCATTTCCCCCCGAAATGGGCATTCTCCAATGCATTGTGAACACAATCCTAAAACATGTATTGAAAAGC